ATCCCTGCCCCCATGGAGCTTGTATTCGTAGAGAATGCAGGCGTGGAAGCAGGACTTCTGGAAAACTAGAGGGACAGCGAGTGCAGATCTGGGGAGAGTCCGCAGACCCTTGGGGAGGGGGCTCCGTCCCTCCCCTCGGAAGGGAAGGCTGTGGGTGGTGACTACAAGGTCTGAGGGTGCTGAATGCTTTGCAGGTGGAGGCCCCTCTCTGCCAGCGCCCTGCTGAGGAAGCCAAGGGGCTGGGCAGCTGGTCAGAGGGGCTCGGCAGAGCCTCACGTCTGGTTGCCAGGGTTCCGTTCTTCCTTAACTTTTTCCTTCCCCAGTAGTGGCCCGGAAAGCATTATCTAAGAAAATGACTCATGTTATTTTTATTTATAATATTAGTTTTATCTTCAATCCAAAAGACCTGCAAGTATGTTGAGGGCAGAGATCAATTCTTGTACTTGTCTAGCCCACAATAATTTTCTAAGTAACAATAATAACTAACTCATACTGAGTGTTCACCACACGCCGTTGTCCCAGTTTTTCCTGGAACTGCACTTCACATAATGAGGTGGGGCCTTTATTTCTCCAGACAAGGACACAGAGGCACAGGGAGGTTAAACACCTCGCCTGTGGTCACTCGGCCAGGTCACTCCAGTTTAACTTCAGTGGCACTGTTCTGGGCTGAATTGTGCCCCACCCAAGTTCAGTCGCTGAAGTCTTAATCCCCTCAAAAAGTGGCCATTACCTCAAAAAGTGACTCTATTGGAGATAGGGCCATTAAAGAGGTAATTAAATGAAATGAGGTCATTAGTGTGGGTCCCCAACCAATCTGACTGGTGTCCACGTAAGAAGAGCAACTTTGGACATAGACGTGCCCAGAGGGGAGTCCATGTGAAGACACAGGGGGAGGGTGGCCACCCTGGAGCCAAGGAGAGAGGCCTCAGGAGAAAGCAACTCTGCCCACACCCTGATCTCGGACTTTTGGCCTTTGGGACTGTAAGAAAATAAATTCCTGTGGTTTCAGCCACTCACTCTGTGGTACTTTGTTACGGCAGCCACATTGGCTGATAGAGGTGTGTTGTGAGTGTGGAGGAAAGGTCTGGAGGCTCCGTGCTTCACAACCGAGGCCGCCCCGTCTGATCTGGCCACCTCTCCGGTGTTCAGTGTGTCCTGTCCTGGGCACCGGACACCCAGCAGCCCGAGTTCCCCCTGAGCACAGCCCTGTAGGCAGACACATTCATCCTCATTACACAGAAGCTGTGGTTCACTGGCCTACACCTGGCAAAACTCATGGAAGCAGACCTTTCATTCACTTATTCACTGGGTCATTCAGCCAATGATTATTCACGCCTGCTGCATCCCGTGCACTGTTCTGAGTCCCAGGACTGTGACGATGACCAGAATCATGTTACAGTCCCCAGGAAGTCATTGTACAAATTAACATAAAGTCTGTTTTAGTCAAGTAATCGTACTAAAAAAGTTCAAATAACCAGTGCAGTAACAATGACAAAGGAGAGCTAGCTATGCAGTGCAGTTAGCATGGGAACTTGACCTAGGAAGGGAGGTCAGCAAAGGCTTGAGCCTTAAAAGATGGACAGGATGGAGTTAACTAAGCGAAGAGGAGAAAGACCAGAATTCCAGGTGAGGAAGCAGCAGGGGCAAAGGTGTAAAGAAAACAGCAGCCCTGCTCCTCCAAGTTTGCAGAATGGCAGAAGGAAAGAGGAGGAAAGAAGGGAAGGAGAGGAGATCAAGAAAAAGGAAAGAAGAAAACTAACATTTGATGAAATCTCCCAGGCAACATGCTAACCATCTCCATCTCATTCAGCACCCATACGCAACCCTCACAGATACATAGCTACAGGACCAGGGTGGAGGGAGGGGAGGCACCCCTGCCCAGGCCTCAGAGCAATGCCTCCTTCGATTTCACCCCGGAGATGCTTCACACTAGCCCAAGCCCTGTGGCCCGCCACCATCACTTGTTTCCTTATCCGTGTGGCTGGGCCTGCTGGTTGGGACCACCTGCCTAGTGCCACAGCAAGAACCGTGACCTTGGGAAGCTCGCCACCACCACCAATGAGGCCCCAGACAGAGGGTGTGTGCACCCCAGCTATCGCAGCCTGCACCTTCCTTGGCCTGTGCGGCCTCCCTGGAGGACTTCAGACAAAGCCCAGGGCAGCTGCTGAGGATGAGAGGAGGTCAGGAATTGGTGGCACGTGACGGGATGTGCTGGACGGAATTCACATACTCAGGCAGAGTCCAAGAGAGGAGAATGAGTTTGTAGACAAAAACCAAGACTGGGAACATAAGCAGAGACATACACAGGGCTCTTTTTTATTGCTGCCCAAGAAGTGCTTTTGTGCCATGTATATACAGCAACCAGAAATGAGAAGGAACAGCTAGTGCCTCTGCTCAGATAAAAACATGTTAACTAATTTCTTGCCTCTTTCAGAGGGCCTATGAGCACTTATATCAAAGAAATTCCTTTTATTTATTTCATTTAACTCACCATTGTGTTTGGCTCTAGCACTTTCCTTCCTTCTTTTCTTCCTTCCTAATAAACAAACACACATAACAATTAGATGAATTTTGCTAACATAGTATTCCTGAAAGTATGACTGAGAGCCTTGTCTTTTGCCTAGATCACCATTCACATTTAAATCCAGAAAAGAATTTTGGTTTAAAATTCAATTCTAGATAGAATTTCATTTTCTTTTCAGTAATAAGGGCTATAGAACTTAATAAGTTTCTCCTTTTACCATGGCTACTAGGAAACTCAGAGTCATGGTTAGGGTTCATCGGCTGCAACTATGTTGCAAACCTTCATCTGCTGGCCCCTATGCTTGTAATGACCATTCCCTTTGTCTGGTCCTGCTTTTCTATTTCTTATTTGTACATATGGCTTCCTTGCACGTATTTTTGCTGTAAATTGCTGTTCATGCTTCAGGAAAAAAGAGTGGGAGAAAAAAAACCATGAAACCAGTTCTATTATCTGTCCTTGGACCAAGCTTCTCAAGCCAAGAATTACTAAATAGCCCTTGTCCTTGGTCACTGCTTCAAGAGCCTTGGCCTCTCTAACATGACCGAGAGATACCGCCTTTGCACCTCTAGCTTCCCAGGAAATGAATTGAGTACAGAGTGTGCTGGTTTTCTATTGCTACATTTAAAAATGCTTAGCCACTTAAAACAGCAAATGTTTATTATCTCACAGTTTTTGTGAGTTGGGAATGTGGGCACAGCCAAGCCAGGTGGTTCTGGATTAGGGTCTCTCATGAGATTTCGGCCAAGATGTTACCCAGGGTTGCAGTCATTTGAAGGCTTGAGTGGGACCAGAGGGTTGGCTTCTAGGGGGGGTTCCTCACCCCTGAACCTCAGCATCAGCAAGTGACCCGAGAGACAGCAAGGGCCAGTCTCGGAGCCACACAACCTCACTTCCACCGCATTCATTCATCAGAAGTGAGTCACTAAGTACAGACCAGTCAGAGGGGAGATGAGCTCCACCCTTTTGATAGGAGGAATGTCCAAATGTTGGGAGAGATATTTAAAAGCGCCGCTCAGATTATGAAGATTTTTCTTTCTTTTTTTTTTTTAAGTACATATAGCCAAGGCACAACTTGGTTATCACATAGCTATACCTAGATGCGAACTAGGACAGAAAAGAAGGATGAGAAAGATGACACTTGTCCTCAGCTGAGAGCTGCATCAGCTCTGGTTCCACGGAGCTCCAAACACAGGCCGGTGCGGGAGAGAACACATGACCCCAAATGCAATAAGATGAGAGAGAGAAGGGCAAACATTTCAAAAGAGGAGAGAGGGGACTCTTCTCTAGCCAATCTTCGAAGTCGGCCCCTCCTGAGACTGAAATGAGAGACTAAAACCAAGGTGACAGGGTCTAATGAAGCTACAAATTACCTCTGATCTTTTGTCTAGCCTTTTGGTTAGACCTGAGGTAGGAAAAGTGAGTGGTGACTCAGAAAGCAAGGTGGGAGAGAGGAGCTGAATGCACGTCTGGAGGTGATGAGAGGTGCTGGTGAGTGGGCGTAAGGAGGTGCTTATCACAGCTTGAACTGATGTAGATGGATGCTGCCAGGAGTCTAGTAAGGCCAGTTGGCCAGGGGATAGAGCCTGGTAGATCCTCTGCTGTTCTTTCTGGATCCATGGGGCAAAGATACTTGGCTTCTCATTAATCTGGATGTGACTACACCGTAGTGCAATAGGCAATGGGAACACAGGGAAGCTTTTTATTCATTCTAATATGCTTACCTTTGATAGTGAACTCCCCAGTGTGAAGGCTGACTCACAAGACAGCTGGGTTTTTCTTCTCCTTCAGAGTCATCTGTGCTCTTGCAAAACTGCCATAAAATACTCCAATACATACCAACTAAGTAACCAGCTCTGTGAGGTGTGTAACATTCTTGTCATGTGGGAATTAACTAGCCTAAAATATGGGCAAGCCAGAGAGTATATTATGGAATAAAGCATGTGGCTAAGGACATGAAATTTGTTCATTCAATAGCATTTAACTGCATGTTAAATTCATTCATTCAATGGCATTTAACTGCACATCGCCCCCACCCCAGCCCACCTTCCCACCCAACCATGACCACCTTCTGACTCAGCAGAGGACACTTCCCTGAGCCCCTGAGGCTGAGTTCTGCACTCTCCCCAAGGTGTCCACAGGAGCCCTGTGCATAATAAATGCCTCTCCTCTAGGGCCATGTTGCTTTTATGTTTATCTGGCAAAGGGTCGGCTTCTACTTCAGATGTGAGCCCCAGAGGGAAGGGCTGATTTACATTTGTGCTGAACCTGATATGAGTGCTGATATAAATGTTTTCCTTTGGGAAGGGATCCCAGGAATCAGGATGAGGCTTGAGGGGGGCGGGGGGGGGAATAGGGAAAGAAGGGAAAACAATGTGTGGTGTGTTTTTTAGGTGGTCACCGCAGGCAAGGGGGGCACGCGTTCATAGGCTCACGCCCCTCACTGGCCAAGAGTTGTAATAAATTTCCGCCTTTCCAGGTCCCAGGGGACGTGCGTCTGTGCAGGGCTCTCTGGTGGACACCAAACACACTGCTTGAGAGAAGCCTTCGATCAGCCAAGGTGAGTTGATGTTGGGAAGCTGATTGCTGCAGCAGTGGCTCATTGAAAAGGGGGGCAAAGGATGTGAAGCAAGGCACAAGAGGTGACCACAGAATGGCCAGGCAGGAAGAAAGGACAACAATTTGGAAGCCATTGCAGTAACCTAACAAAAGGCGATAGGGTCTGAATTTATACCATGTGTGTGGAACGCAGAGAAGAGAACCACGGGAGAGCCACTTTGGAGAGAGTACTGGTAGACTTTGCAGACTAGGTATGGGTGAAGAGAGACAAGGGCAGCAGGACAGGACATCTCCCTGGGTTCTGACCAGGCTTCCGGGCAGAGGGCAAAACAGGACAGGGACAGGGGAGGAGGAGGAAAACGGGAATTGAAATGCCTGATAAGGATCGCAGGGGTCTCGGAGGGGACTGTTGCAGTGGTCGGGGAGGAGATCTTTGCAGTAGTCATGAACAGAGGGTTGTTGCAGAAATCACGGAGGGGGTTGTTGCAGCAGTTGTGGAGATGGCTGCCGTCATCACGGAGGAGATCGTTGCCATAGTCACAGTGGAGATTAGGAGCTGCTCGAGACCAAGGTTTAGGAGAGGAAACAAAAAGTGCCAATGAGGGCCCAGCTGAAGTGAGAGACTATGAATTACATACTATATTGGCCCCAAGCTGCATGACCTTGACAGCTTCTGCAGAGTGGATATAGGAGCAAGTCCTGTCAACAACAGACCTGATCCAAGCGTGGGATTTTATAGGGTGGGTCTAGAAGGACAATGGAACAATAGAATTGGAGATATGCCAAGAGCATGAACAACAGTGGACCATATATTAAATTTTATGTTGGGCTGTAGGTGATTCCTGGAACCTTTTCACATGTCCCGGATTTTTAAATTAATACATGTAATATGGGGATCACTCCTGTCTGTGACCTAAAAAAGTAATGTATCTGATGTTGGCCAAAACCAATTTTTAAAAAACGGCATTGCCCAGAAGGCTTCAAAGGCAGCTGGGAGTGAGCTCCTGGGTGGCGTCCCCGGAAGGGCACAGGTAATGAACAGGGCACATCCCCATCGGGCTTCCCACTGTTGGCACTAGGCTGTCCTGGGAACCACGACTTCACAAAAGCCAAAGGGGCTCTCAGCAGTCTTTTCCCTATGCAGGACTCCGTTAGCGTGCGTTTGCGCCATGGCCAAGTTTTATTTTTCATTTCCTGTGCTTCTCCCCTCCCTTCCTACCCTTCCCCACTCTTCTCCATCCGCACCCCTCTCACCAGTCCCTGGTTCTGTCAGGTGACAAGGAAACATTTGAGTCCATGCCAGCATGTCCCTGTAGGTCATTTCTTTGAATGCCACGCTGGTTTGGCAAGTACCCCAATGACCCCAAGAAAAGCAGGGGCCCTGGGGTGAGCCAGGCCCCAGCTGGTCCCCTCTGCGGTTACAAGGTGTGTTTAGTCCCTTTCAGGTAGGGAGGCACTGCTGTTCTTCCTCAGGCAAAGCTGCAGGTAGGGGACAGGCCCTCAACCTACCTCTGCTGAAAGTTCTACAGCATTCGTTTCCTTTGGTTCTCTTCTTACGGCCTTCTCTGTTTTTGCAAACATTATTCCATCTAGGATGAGTTCTCAAACCCTTGGCATTTGCTCTAAAGGGAAATCTGCTTTGATGCCTGGTGAAAATTTCAATCAAATTCCTATTCATAGTCAAGGAGTGAGTGGGAACTAAAAATACCAGCATTCTGGATTTTTTTTTTCTTCTGAAGTCCTGAACAGAAGCAAGGCAAGGGCTGCGAAGGAGGCGGTCCAGCTCCCTCCCATCTCCGGCTCTCGGGCCTGGTTTCAGCACCCAGCTCCAGGAGGCCCGTGGCCCTCCTGCCAAAGCACCCAAGAGTCTCCAAGGCCATTTTTCTAAACATGTAAAATGAAGCTCCCTAAGTATATTACAAATATCACGGGCAAGACAACTTGGCTATGGAAAAGCCTCGGAGCAGTCAGAATGCTGGGAGTATTAAAAGCCAAATTAGCTGACAAATGTCATCCCTACTCTGTGTGCAGCCTGACAGCAAACAGTTCTGAAGGTTATTAGCAGGGCCGTGTGGTCAGAGCCATGTGCTGTTCTCACGGCTGTTCGCTATTTGTCTGGCTCTGCCTGTGCCCTGGCAGGCAGTTCCAGCATGGACACCAGTTTGCCGTGGGTGACTTCTCGTAGGTCAGTCTTTCTAAAAAAAAGGAGAGGTTCCTTTAAAAAAAAGCTTCCAAAATCTGTAAACTATTTTTTTAAACCAGATCTCTCTTTTGGAATTACATTTAAATGAAGACAAGATGACTCACTCTGCCAATGCCTCATTAAAATAAAGATATCTTAAGAAGGTCAGAAGTTTGGACGTTGAAAGGTTGGATACAAATTATTCTTCCATTTCTGGAATTTTGGTCCCTCAAAGACAGAGGCATCTGGAGAACTTCTGTGTTTCTTGCCCAGTGGGGTCAGGATGCCTCTTGGCAACATGGACAGATTCTGATTGACAGGCTGAGCTAACGGTCTGTGGCCAAGGTAATAACCATTTGGTGGGACTACATCAAAGCTAATTATTAAGGTAATTAAGAGGAAGCTTAATTTAACTAATTAGCCTTCCAATAGTAGAGAAACCACTAAAGGTCACTTAGAGATTGGACAGTCCTCTGCTGTTGTAGTTTAGGTTAAGGGTAAAGCAAGATAATTTATCAATAAAACAGAACAAAAGGAAAAATTTCAAAAGAGCAGAGGCACAGTGGTAACAGCCCATTCTGGGTACTGTGCTACAGCCAGAAGACAAGTGATAATGATTACAATTTCAGTAAATTGTATTAGGTAAAGCTTGGCATCGAGATACATGCGGCTGAGCCATTGCTTCTTTACCACGAATTTATCTATTTCTTTCATTTTAAATCTGAGGGGGAGCATCTCCTCCACATGACAACAAGTCACTTTTTAGATAAATTGCCCGAGTTGCTGCCAACACAGAAGACGTGATGCCTGGAGAAATAAGAGTAGCTGATGGTAATAGTAGGCACTCAGGAAATGTTAATTCCCATTCACCCTCCCTACCGGCCCATCCCCATCCAGGCTTGTGTTTATGATTAGATTCATCCTTATTTTCTGTCCAGAATGAGATAATGTGATATGATACATAAATACCACCTGTAGTGTACTGCCTATTCAACACTGGGTATGTTCATGGAAATCTGCGGAGACTGTGGAGCGAAAGTCATGGGCGTGGGGGCCAGACTGACAGAGATTTGACCGCTGGCTCTGCCACTTACTAGCTGTGCGGCTCAGGCAAGCCCCGCCCCCTGGACTCGTTCGCCGCGCTGTGGTAAGGAGCACAGGCAGTCGCCTCATGGCGTCTGGCGTTAAGTGGAGCTCCATAAATCGTATTGTTGTCTTGAGAGTGCTGTGTAAGTGACGGAGAACAGGAGGCCCATTTATTCATTGGTTCCTTTATGTAACACATACTTATGAAGCACGGTCTGCGTTCCAGGGCCTGGCATACTCTGGGCTTCCAGAGGACACGGTGACCCCTCTAGGCCCTGGGGAAGTGTTCATTCCTCTCCACCCAGGATCCGTCGACACTGTCCTCCAGTGACCACGAAGTGGTGGTTCTCACACTCTGCGGTCTCAGGACCCCTTTACATTCTCACAGATCACTAGTGTTCTTGTTTCTGCTATAAAAATGACCATATACTTAACAACATGTTATTACCTTACCATTTTGAAGGTGTGAAGTCTGAAATCATTCCCGCTGAGCAAACGTTAAGGCGTTGGCAGAGCGGGTTCCCCCTGGAGGCTCTGAGGAGAGTCTGTCTCCCCATTTCCTGCAGCCTCTGGAGGCCACCTGTGTGTCCCCCCCCAGTTAATGGTCCCTCCCTCACTTCCCTCTGATCTCTGTCTCTGTCGCAGCGGTTCCTGTGCACCCTCTGGCCGTGTGCCTTCCTCCTATAAAGAACTCTTATATCAGCCCCACGCAGATAGTTCAGGATAATCTCCCGTCTCAAGGTCCTTCACTTACTCCCACCCAGAGCGGCCTTCCCGCCACATAAAGTGAGGTGCGCCCGTTCTGGGGGTCAGGACATAGACAACTTCAGGGAGCCACTGTGCAGCCTACCACAGACCTCGCCGGGTTTGCTTTCCGTGGGTCGTATCTCTCAGTGTCTGCCGTGCGAGAGAAGAAAACTGAGAGATTTCGACAGTATCTATTAATTCACTGAACATAACAACAAACTCTCTACAGGTGAACATTGTTACCTATTTTAATGAAAAACAATTCGATTTTCCAAAACAAAATAAAGAAGGCAGTGAGAAGAGTGGCATTATACCACATTTTCACAAATCTCTTTAATGTTCAGATTAGTAAAAGACAGCTGGATTCTCATACCTGCTGTGATATTCTTTGGTTGAAATACATTTTTAAAAAATGTAGCCTTAGACAGACATGTAGTTGAAAAGGTATATTTTAGTAGCCTTTTCATATCTCCATGAATATTCTTCTTTGATAGTACACTAAAAGTTGCAGTTGGTTGCAATATGGAATCTGAAGACATGTCCATGAATTTTTCCTACTCTCTAATAGTAACGCAGTATGGGGTCAGTGGCGCAATGGATAACGCCTCTGACTACGGATCAGAAGATTCTATAATAGTAACACCATGGTCTATTTTGAATCCACTTTGTATGGGTCTTTCATCCTTGCACAATTTTGTAATGTTGTATTATGATCCTGGCCATTGGAAGGTACAGCTTTACCACATTCTATGCAGACCTTCCTCATACTGACCCATTCCATCCTACAGTATTTTAACATCGCGGCTGTGAATATCACCACAAGTTTGTCAGAAAAATATTTAAGAATTGGAAAGCTGTCCACAAATTTTTCAAAAGTCTGACTTTCCTAATTCCTCATGGAAATGCAAGTGTTGTCTTTGGCAGCAAATACTATCAGCTGTTGTCCTTGACGGGACAGGCTGTCTGACTTCATCTCTGAGAAAACG